GCCCCGCCCCGCCCGCCGACGTCATCGCGGAGGGGCGGGCCCAAGGGGGTAGCGCGCCCCCTGGCGGCGCCCGCGGCCCCGACCGTTATTTTTCAAACGTGAAGGGGGGGCCAGGGGCGGCGCCATCTTGTGGGGGCCCAGCCGCGCAGCAGGGCGAGCGTGCAGCTTCCACGTCTCGTCAGCTCCGCTGCCGCTTGCTCGCCCCTCGCCGAGGCGGCCCCCGCTGTGGATGCCTGGGAGCCTCACAGAAGGGAGAAGCAGGCAGATGGATAAAGGGTCACGCCCTCAGCCAACCTAAAATATAAGAGATGATTTCTGCTTGGAGCTGGACAGGTGGCTGGCAGAGGGCTTTCTGTTTCTTACAGAGAGCGTGGCTGTGATGGGAGAGTTAAAGGAAATAACACATGCACACGGGCTTGTAAGCAAGGTTTAGCAACAGACTTCGAGAACTGAGGGTCTCACTCAAATGCAGAAGTTAAAAGTGGCCTAAAGAAAAAGATAGAGAAAAACAAATCTTGAGGCTCATCATCTGAAAAAGATGGTATTTGACATTCTAGGTAGGCTACTATATCTCCTTCATTTTCTCACATCATTTTGTGCCTGACAGAAACGTACATCTCTTTAGAACCAAACAGTGCCTTTCTGCTGGTTCACGTGGTGCTCCTAAGCAGCACATGGTGGAGGAAACGTGGAAGCTAGAATTTTTCCAATTTGTACCCTCAAAGTGTATAAATTCACACCCATGCTACTACAAATATTTCCAAAGATAATGAAATTACTGTTTCTCTTTGAACCTGACTACCTTATATGACTAGTAATTGCAGGAACAGACGTATGCTGTGCATCCTATTAGCACTGCTCTGAATCAGATGGCTACATACGGTATTTGTACGGTGTCTTATAACTGAACAAGGGTACAGCCTATTTCCTGATATGAAATACTTAAGAAATCTCCCAAAGCTCATCACTGCTGTTAGACAACTGCACCTCCTTAGGCATCATGTATGGATTTATGTATGTCAAATTAATAAACGATCCAGACTTGCAAAGGGTTATAGTCATTTTTTAAATAATATCTTGTACTTTTTGATCAAATCAGGTATCTGTGAGCAGGCTAAAAATAACCTTTTTTTTCTTCACCTAGTTGGTTGGCAAAGTTAGGGTGCCTCTGCCTTGGCACTTCGGTTCAGGAGATCCAACGTGTCCTTTACGAGCTGATTTGCCAAACTCCCCCACTTCCCATGCGTTTGTCCGCGTCGCAGCGGGGTCTCGCACCACATCAGATAGACTCCTTTTTCAAAGGAAACTACCAGACTGCTCCAGGACTCCAGGTCACGGGACCAAACTACAGCTAGCCCAAACATTGAAGCATCCAGGTGCTGGCTTTTCAGCACCAACACTTGCTGTACCACGCTACTTGCCAGGGCAGACATGGCAATAGTCTCCTCCCTTTTGGTCTCCGATCTTGTTTTTCATAAGAAGCTATTATACATTATATTTATTTTACAAAGGCTTAATCTGCAACAGCACCCAATCTTGACGTGTAGCACTCGGCGTAAGTGGAGGTACCAACTGCTGGTTAGTACACGGCAGTTAATTGTTGCTCAACAGAGGGAACACCAGCATTAATCATCATGATTGCAGGTTTTTGGTCGTTTCTAGAGTGCAAATTCAGTGGTCTTTGCTGAATATAAAAGTACAGAGATTTGAATTGATCAGTAAGAAAACAAAAGGGGGGGGGGGGAAATGCAGAATTCAAGAAGGAAACCTGAGAGTCTGCATTTACTTTGTTGGGATTACAATCTCTGATTTCTAATCTATGCTTGTAAATTTGTCCCATGTAGCTTAATTTTCCCTTTCACTTACTCTCCTATCTCTCAAAGCTATCAAAGAAGGCTTCTAAGTATGGTACTAATTATACAAATCAGGCTTGCCTAGTTATAGGCAAATCCAAAGGGACGTGAAAAATCTAAATACAAAAACTGGTTTTAGATAAGACCAGAATGACATGTTTGAAAAAGGATCTAAGAGCTACTGAATCAGATGCCTTCACAAATTCCATTTTTTGTTTTGTTTTTAAATTTCACATCCATTCAGAATTACTTCTATAGGTATAACAAGATAACACCGATTCTGCAAACGCTACTTAGTGGTGTAAACCAGTGCTTCTCTTGGATTTTTTTTTCCTTACATAGCAACTCAGTACTACTCGTTGAATTAGAATTAGTGCAAAATGCTGGCATAAAAATACTGCATACCCTTAATGTACAGAAGAAATGTAGGCAAGTCAGATGCTTTTACCTTATTCTCCCAAAGCAGGCTCTGATCTAATGAAAGAAACAGAAGTGACACAGAGTGATAAAACACACTTCTCCTCTACTCTTGCTCAAGCAGCTAATCGCAGAAATAGATTTAACAGCCACTGCTCTGCAAGTAGTGCCCGGGCTGATAGCAGCAAAAGCAGAAACAGCAGCTGCTTTGTGTTTTACTGAAATTGTCCCCCACCGAAGGGGCAAGGGGTCACTGATTGCATAGTCCTTGCTCCATTGCACACCCTCGGCTATTGTTGAGTCCACTCGGAGAGCAACAGACTGAATGTGCCGCACAGCCTTGTAACCAAATCTTCTTTTTTATTATTGCTTGAATTAAGATTCTCAATAAATGTAAAGCACCTGTTCCTTTGGGTCAGTGGATATAACATGTTGGATGAAGGCTGTGCAAAATCCTGCAGCAGAAGTGTATAACTTACACCGGTACCTCTTGAAATATGATCATCTTTGTTGCAATCTCCTAATCCTTGTAAAGGGATTTGCATGGTACAGGAAGATTTACAATGTAATGGATTACTATTTCATAATCCGGGCCAAGGGGAAGAAACTTCAAATATTTACAGGTTTTTTACTGCACTTCAAACTTTTTTTCTAGATCTGGAAGCACGACACCGGGGAGGCTGTTAGACAGTGTTCGCACACAAAATATGGTATCACCCATCGCGCTTCTGGGCTTTCTTTCATCTGGATTTCCAAGCACGTGTAACTTTATTCTCTACCTGCGTCACTCTTTTGTAACCACAGCGCTTGTCATTATTCAAAAGCAAAGAAAGTATGTTAACAGAAATTGTGTAGGAAACGAAACATTTTTGAGCAGACAATGATTAAATGGCTATGACTTTACCCTGTGTAAAATGTATTAGAAAAAAGAGAGAGAAAATGTTTAAAAATTAATATTAGGAAACCAAATTTCTTCTTAGTGAGTTGTGTAGTCAGAGTTATATTTTTTCAATTTTAACCACTCAAGGTCTCCAACAGGACAGACAATTGCACAGAACCATGAAACTCAAGACGGAAGACAATTTTGCAAAAGCATTTTCTATCTAGAAAGTCCAAACCACCTGAAGTTTTACACTACGCTCCTTGGATACTAAGCCCAGCCTGCTGCATGTCAGTGCCAAGAGTGACACTCCCAAAAGCACGGAATATCATTGCAACTACTCTCTCATGCTCAGTTCTCCCATCCCAGTTGGTTGCATTTTTTATTAAATTAGTGATGCCAGCTCTTTGTAGCCAGCAGTCTAAAGGCAGATAGTGGCTTTTTCATTAAGTCTTTAAGATATGTAGCAACGAGGAGATTCTCACCAAGCTGTCCCTTCCCAACGGCACGCAGCAATGAAAAGCGCAGCTGCAGCAATGACAGGTACAACAGAAAGAGGTATAGAAACCTCACATTTTGCAGAGGGGCATCACTGCAAGTAAAACATCATTAATGCCAGCGACCTCCTTACACCTTTATTACCCTCTCAGTTGAAGGGTGAATTTAGACTCCGTTAAAGTAATTAAGAGCTTGGAAAGATTTAAATGAAACATAAATCAGAAAATTTGAGTGCCAGTTAATATATATAGGGAACAAGCTGTAGTCAAAAATATTTTTTATTCCTATCATCAGGAAAAATGAGTGATATTGAAAAGAGAATTGCTAATCTGGATTTATGTGCCCAGTCACCATCCTCAGTCAGTTTAAAAGTTTCATAAAATGTTGTCCATATTCCCCTTAATGTAATTCTGAACTAAGATAACTGGCTGAGATATTTTTCATCTGGGCAAAGCCCAGGGGACCCTGTGTAGGGCTCACCCTGAAGGGTAGGGTTAGGTTTGAGCTTGAGAGAGAAAGCAAGCAATTTCAGGTGCTACAGACCACGGGGATCCAACTGAGATAACTCCCATCAGATAATGTTAAAAAAACAAAAATACTTAGAGGCTTAGAAAATCACAGATCTTCAGTTAGTTTCACTGTTGATGTCCAAAAGGTAAATGCAGATAAAAGTACTCGTAAGCATCTTAAGGGTAAACCAGTGTTCACAGAGGAAGCATCCAGAAGTAGTTTAGACTTTTCTGGCTGTTAATGTCTGTGTTTCTACAGGGAAAAAAACACCTGGACTTAGAGTAAATGATTGTAAGGATAAACTACAAAAGAAATCCTATCCCCATATGAAGTAAAATGAAGTGTTTACCTTAGACCACATCTTTACGATGAAAATATATGATCTGTATTCATTCTCAGTAAGAAAACAAGTGAGAACAGGCATTCGGTGGCATTCAGATCGGCTAACAGGTCGAACTAGTGGAACTAGGAGAGCTGTGCGTTAAAAACAAACCCTCAAAAGCAACTGTTGGGGACATAATGTTCTTTAAATATCTACAAGATATTTTGTGTTACAACAGTGGATGTTAAGCATTTAGCAAACTGGATGGAAATACCTAGATGAGTTACTTTGAACTAAAGCCCTTCTTGTGAGGGGCTGCGCATCTGAGAACATCAAGTCCACCAGAACCAGCCCTGGTCTGTGTTCACGAGGAGTAACAGACCAAAGACAGTGGCAACTTGGAGTGTGCCAGTAAAAAAAGGATCAAATTGTTTGAGCCCAAAATAGCAATATCACAGGTGAAGAAAAATTTAGAAATCATAAATGAAAAGAGCATTAGTACATGTTTTCATAACTATCTAAGGAATCTAGTGCCTAGTACCAAGATTTCCGAGGGCTTGATAAGAATGTCTTTAAGAGCAGAACTAAAAGGCAAGTAGAGGAAGAGTGTGAAATTTTGTACATTACAGGATAACAGGGACCAACAGAAGACAGCCATACTTCTCATGTCTATTACATACGCAGTGTAAAAGATTTACCTTAGCGTGCGTTAGATCGCAGCCCAGGTCTGTCTCTCCATTTTGATGGATGTAACAAAAATA